ACAGGCACACAAACCATTGTTTAAATTTCAGACAAATTTAAATAATTTGCACTTCGGTTTTGTTTTGTTTTTTTAAATCATGGAAACAGTCTTGATAGTGCTATTACACGTTATTGTGACATGTATTTAGCAATAAAATAAACACTGGAATTGTGTCTCATAACTCATGGAAGTAAGACATTCCTTCACTTATTTTTCCATTTGATCCCATAATATTTTTCAATATTTAGTATTCGTTTAAGTCAAAACATAATTCTACCCAGAAGGAATGATTGGGTAGTGAAGGTACATATATGGCTGTCTGATCTCTTCAAACACCATAACCGAGTTTTATTTGCACATTTTTGATGTTGAATATGAGAAACAATCCCATAAAATAGCAATTTATGACATCTTAAAATAATGGATAAAATCCTATGCAACTGGCTAAGAAACGTGATGACCTGACTGACCTACATCTATGTACAGGCGATGCAACTGTAAAACACAAATATGTGTATGATTCCATTCAGTGCTGGCCACAGCCTTAATTGAAATGTGAAATTCCCTATTTATGTTCTGTCAGTAAATGCAGCCATTGTTTTGTATATTGTTGGTAAATGCAGCATATGGCAATTAAACTCTGACTGCCGGGTGTAATTAATTTACAGAAGAGTAAAACTGCAGATTAAAGGATAGGAATGAACAGGGAAAAGGCTGACGTAAGGTGATGTGACTAAGGACTGTCGACGCCTGCGCGACACACGCTGGATGCAGCCCCTTGGAGCAAATTAGGAAATCGGACTCCCATGTAACGTCATTTTGGGTCCTGGGGACGGCACCCCCGCTTTCATGTAACGGCCATTTTGGCTCGGACTGGGAACAGTTTCCAGGGCGATAGAGAAAAGGAGCGAGGGAGGGGCCTGGTATTTCTCGAAGTCAGAGGAACAGCCAGTCAAAGCCAGCCAGCCAGCCAGCATCTGAGGAACTGGAGCAACGGCGGAGCTGCTTGGGAATACACTGTAAAATTTATATATATTTTTTTCCCTATTCAGTACGAATGGTATGTGCAGCGGGGCGAAAATGAAGGTCTTCCATTCGGGCTCGGGATGCTGTAAATGAAGCATATCGCAGCCCGGTCACGTTAGGCTTTTTCTGCTGGGATAAGGCATCGGTGGGTGTACGGGGCCGCAATAACGGCGCCAGCCAACCGGTGACTCCATCAACGGTTAGCTCGTTTTAAGCCAACCATTTTGGAGAGAGCCCCGTCAGCTCTGCGCGATAGGGAGCAGCATCATTGTCGGTGCGGGAGTTATCCGTTCATGCAACCGTGGTGGAGTCTCGTACTTGGCGGTGAGGTACGAAGCCTAGACATGCAAAGTGTGCTGTTTTTCTGAAGGAACATCTCCACGCCCAGCGGTTGCTCTGCAGCTAGCTCGCTGGCTATAGCCCCCTGTCTATACAGAGAAACGCTCAGGAGAAGGTGGGGCCGCAGTGGACTGACAGCTAATGCTGCTAACAGGGTAGCTGGGACTCCCTGGGTGGTTTTTATCCAGACACTCAGCGACCGTGCATTCTGGAACTCAAAACAACTCCATTCAGCTAGGGAAAAATACAAAAGAACGTTTTAAATTGTTTTTCTGAATAAAAGCACTGGTGGAGGGAGAGGAGGAGCAGAGCATCCTCCTTTACCTGCATGACCATGGCGGACGACGACGTGTTATTCGAGGATGTCTACGAGCTGTGCGAGGTGATTGGAAAGTAAGTGCTGTAAATGACACTTAGAAATGATAATTACGCATTTATTACATACTTGACAATCTAATGCAAATGGTATGACAGACTAATACAGATATCCATTCATTCTTTCATTGGTCTTTACCTTTTTATCCTTTATCCATACTCAAAATGATATACCTTAGTAAATACAAATGTAAATGCTATTACTATTATGTCATACAGACAATGCAATAGTAAGTTTAATCAGTTACAAAGTAATACTTTACATTATATACTATTTAAAGTGTTATATTTGGATGTTTTCTGTTGATTTTAAGCAACTCATGTTAGTTGGGCAACAGTTGAAACAATAAAAAATAAATTTTTTAATAATCAATTTCCTGTTTTGGTTTTTTGGTTAAGTTATGGTCGTAAAGGACATAATATAACCAGAGCAGATTTACTCCTAGAACTAATCGTAAGTGTCTTTTTGTCATAACTACATCATTGAGAATCAACAATGTCTACTGTGGATGCAATGTACATGGTAAATAATGAAACTATGGGATGATATGAATAGATTTATTTTTCCTCAGTGTGCTCCATGTGCTAGTCCGTTATCTTGCGGAAAACATTATCTTGCACATAAACAACCAATGCAATTACATTTGAATGTTATAGCCTAGGTTTAAAAGTCTGTTGCTGTAAAAAGTCGCACAATTTGCACCTAATCAGAAAGGAAACATTTGCCCAACAAGACAAACAATGTATCCACCTCTTCCATCATTTACCAAACTTTCTTGTATGCGGACATCACTGGGATCGCTGGCATCCTGTGTATTTCACACCTTGCAAACCAATTTCACGCACAACTGCCACCCAAGAGGCTGGAGTGTGTGCATCAGTGTTACTGATGTGCCAGAAATTAGGGAACTGAGAAAGATGCCATTAAATACAACATTTGTTATCTGCATTATTTCATTTATATTAAATCATTAACAATAACATTTTAAAGTCCTGGTATATAACATAACAAATACATTTCTAGTGGATTTCTTCAGGAATAGGGTTGACATCAATTGCTGCAATAAACTGTAATAGTTTTCATTTAAAGCAGATAACCAGTTACATCTTCAAGATGCTCAGAAATTAAAGGATTTGTGGTTAGACATGTGTTCTCCACCATTTCCACTTCTGAAGCCTGAAACAGGCAACTCTTTAGAGGTCTGAGGGTCCATTCGGTTTCAGTGGAGAGGGTATGTTTTTTCAGGAGCTTTAGGACTTGTTTCCTTATCCTGAGACTTCTTGTTGCCTTGGTTACTAATTGATGGCCGGTCCAGCACCACTGCCTTGGACTCCTAGTAACCAATATATACTGGGAGCCATTGACAAATGTAATTGTTACTTTATGTCAGGGAAGTGCAAGAGTTTTGTAAATCCTTTTCCCTGAAGGATTGTTTCACTTGAAGATAAAACCAGATCAAATATTTCATTACCTTTGTGGTGGAAGTTTTCTGCCATGTGAGCTGTACAGTTACATCAGCAGTGTTTTCTACCATTGTGAATTGTGTGGCAAAATCTGCGCATTTTGCATGTAACACAACATTTGAAGAGGTAAACATATCCAAGGCTGTCTGCTAAGCACTTTTGTAGGTGCGGTCATACAGCCCAAGCAGGTCAGCGGAGAGCTAATACATGAGTGAACAGTAGTCTGGACTGGTGCATGCCTTAAGCTTTAGTAAAGAAGCAATGTCACATTTATGTCACTGAAAATCCCAGAAAATCCCTCTTATCCCTCCAGTACTTTTGTGAAACGGCAGTTGATGGATCAAGTGTGTTGAATCCAGTGTCCAGTGTCCCAGTGTCTTGGGATGTAATGTAGGAAAATCCCAGTGTCTTGGGATGTAATGTAGGAACGAGGTGGTTGAGAGAGGGGTGATTTTTCCTTAGTCAAGAGGTTGGACAGAAAGGGAGGCTGACGCAGATCAATGGAGACAAGTGAAGCTGGGAATGGGATGGCCCTTAGGCTAAGGATATCAATAATGCCAGCAGACTCTGACTGTTAGACTCTCCCACTTTGTTTTCCCCCCAGTGCTTTACTGTCAGCACTACTGTACTGTAGGTGTGGGCATCATGTTAAAACTGAGGGCATTTATTAATTAAACATTCAAAAACAAGTAAAAAATCGCAACTACTGTAGTTGATTTTGGTTAGACTATAACCCTGCTATAACTGCACTACATCAGGATACCATGCAATTACAGAGGTTGTTGAATTTTGCTGTAATGATAAAATGCATGGATATTTCTCAAAGTACAGTGTTTTTATTCACCCTTGCTAACAAAACTGCAGAAAATTGAAAGACCGTGAATATATAATATCCACATATACACAATTGTACACATTCCATTTTATAGATCAAACATAAACATTGTGAATTAAGTTAGCCCAAAAGCAACACAGTGTATAGAAGAAGGCATAATAATTGTAGTAAAAGAGGTTGTCTGGACACAAGCAGCCCTTGTTTTGTGCTTATGATTTTTTTAACATCTAATTTAAAAATATTGCCTTTAACTTTGTGAATGTAAGGTTTTCATCCATGTTTAAAATAATGTACACTGATTGCACACAAACTGAAAAATGACTTTAAAGTAAGCAAAATAAATTAGATCAATTTGAGGTTTGCGTTAATGACTTTGTCCTTCACAGTACGTCATATCATATTCCTTTTTGTAGTAACTTGTGCTCGTTTGTTAGGGGTCGGTTCTATTGTGTGGTCGCGTGTCTTTGTCTGACCTTTACCCTTGCCTCCTTTTCAAATGTGTTCATAAACCCTATTATCCAGGCCTGAGTCTTCCATTGTTGCTGCTCAGAGACGTTTTCTATTATTGTCCTTGATCGGCTTTGTGTCGGATAGGAGCAGCCTGGCTGGGTGGGATTGAGAGCATTGCTGAAGCAGTCACTGTTCAGTATTCACTGCTTCTAAACTAGGGTGGCATGTTTAGAATCATTTCTACAGAAATAAGGTTAGTAATTAATTTTTATTATGACAGTGTATGTGAATGTCATTTAACCAGATGTTGACTTTTGTTTGTACAGTCTCCCAGATTACCCTTCTCAAACTGTTTCCAATTTCTACTATCACAAAGGCCTTAGATAGTTTTTATGGTAGAGTGAACACACACACAAGTGCTAACAGAGGGTCCCTGGTCACTGGGAACACCTTTTCTCAGGGCCTCCTTTTTCTTATTTCACATCAGAAGTTGTAGTTTTGTGTTGCTGGCAGCAGAGCTTTTTGTGTGCTTCACATCTATATATTTTAAACTACAAACCTTTTCCACCTAAAATGTTTCATCCATCCAAACAAACATGCAAAATCTTTCGACACTGTTAGGTCCTCTAAAATACTTTGTTTAAACACGTGACATAGCAATTGAAAAACCAAGACCCTGTGAAACAACAGGCCTGCATTGTTTAGTAAAGCATAAGATATTAACATCTGGTAGTCACCCAAGCCCTCTGAAATGATCACTGCTCTGGATAATTCTGGTACCGGTTTACGTAATTTTATTTCTTAGGAAACATTACATCAATCGTTATGTAGATGTGTCTTTATGTATGTATGTATGTACGTATATATATATATATATACATACACAGTATATAATATATATATTAGGGTTGCACCAAAATAAAAATTCTTGGCCGAAACCGAAAGTGAGAAAACTAAGGTTGAAAACTGAAAACCAAAACACTGAAAGAAATTATTATGCCAATTATTTATACCATTCCATTTATGGCTATGAGATACAGTAATGTCTTTGCTTGTTTTGTTGTTGTACTCACAGCCATAAACTCCCTTGAATTAGTACATCTTTAGTACATCGATTTTTGTCTTAGTTGGTAGTTAAGTTGTAATGGATGACGTTCACATAGCAAGCGGACCATACTCCACCATTTCAAAATAACCTGGTCCATTTGCTTAGTGTCAACAAAAGGTGTAGATGTTGCCACATGTTAATGACTCAAGCAACTTCAACCGGACTAAGTGTGAACACTGACACTGGTGAACCAAATTGCATTCAACCAGACAAGTAAGTGACATGTGTGTTAGTGAAGAAACTGGCAGTTAGTCGCAACTCTTCTGTGCTTCTTCGAATTGCTTTGCTTCCGCAGTACAGTCATTTGTATTGTTTTCTTTGAATGGAGAACCTTTCCTTTTTATGTGTGCTTCGACTTCCTGTAGCCTTCAACATTTGGAAGATCAATAGCTGTGAAAGGATGGTGCAAAGGCAAAGCTCTTTCTGACGACAATGACAAACTGAAGAAAACCTGAACCTTTATTTGAATTAACTCCAGGTTGTTCTTCAGAATCTTCTCCTAAGGGTGTCCTTGCTCCACATTTCAGTCTGCAACCCAAACACTGATATTCAAAGTGTTGCTCCCCTAATTTGCATGAGGATTTGCTCTGGATTATTCCGGCATTGAAGAAGGGTGGTTTAATAGCATTGAACTTTGTTGAACTTATTTAAATTGCTTAGCAGAATGGACTCCAGAAGAAAAACACATTCAAATGAATTATTTTTGACTCGACCTGATCAGATCTGGGTTGTTATCTGAGAAGTTACAATAAAAATGTTTTTATAGATAAAGAGAATATTGCTAAATTACAAAAAAAAAAACATACAGTTATGCACCCGATTTCATTTGTGCAATCTTTAAATACTGCGTAGTATAGTACAGTGTAGTCACTAATTATGAATAGAGTATTTGCACTCAGGCATTTGAGAATGATGATTCACAGAACGTTTTTGGCAGCTTTTTCTGGATGACACTGAGGATAATGTGCCTGGTGACAACGGCAGATAAATGTATTTTACCTGACTCTGCACTAAAGCCGTGCAGCAACTTAAAAAATTCCTTTATGTGTTTCACAGCATTACACTCATTTTTTTCCTAGGTTTTTCAAAGTTATGATTCACAGAAAGTGAGCGTATGATGCCAGCTGTTGACTGCAGCTAAAAAGCAAAATGCTTTTTAAAGCAAAGATCCTGCGTCCTGCAAGTGTTTAATCTGGAGGCACAGACACACATTGACCTGGGTTGGAACTGAAGACCTGTTGACACGTTTGTCCCACCTTCATTTAAGATCTTAAGACGTGAACTAACGTCATAGATGAGGAGAAGAGAGTGAAAAAAATTCAGTGAAGGTTCTGCAGAGACTAAGACCGTGGGCCACTGTTTGATAAATGGTGCTGTCGTATTTGAGCCGTGTGTGGGCGCTTTGTATGAGCCCCCTCAGCACAGCTGTGGTGATGTCACTGCAGAATGCCGTCTCTCCTGTCATATCACCTTGAGATGCACACACCCAGTCCCTTTGGCCCTAGTCACATGAGGTAGAATAATCTTTCCTGTGTGATTCAAAAGCATGGGAGATGGGGTCAAATGGACCTGTGTTCTAGATTTGTGTGATCACTGGAAATAAAGTATTTGTTCCCAATACACAAGCCGAGAAACATTGGTGAACCAGCAATGGCATTTTCTTTTGCTTTTGGCAAATACTATTTAATTTGTTTGTACCGAATTGACTAAAAAGACCTTAGGTTTACTGCTGTTGCAAGGAGTCAATATATCATCTGAGGAGTGGGCGGTTCCTAATATGTCTTGAGGATCGTGTTAATTAATGGATGTTTTTTTGATGTAGACATGTTTGCCCTCAAGCTTCCTCCTGACTGAGTTTTTAGTGATACAGTATGATAAGAGGATTTTGGATGATTGAATGTTAAGAATGTTAAGTTATTGATTAGAATGTCCTTAGCAAAGCATTAAGATGGTATCACTTACAACGGAGTAATTGTGAATAACATGGTCCATAGTTTGAGCCAACTGGTCACTGGCTCTACGCAGCTTTGTTACATAGTCAAAGCATCCCAGAGAGGACGGTTGATAAGAATTGCTAGCCTGGGACGATAATCAATAAATTCATTGATCCACGAATGAAAATTAAATTGAAAAATCCAAAAATAGTTACATCCAGGGCAACTGGACGAAGTAGGTTTTTTTCTTTTTGAAGATGTTACACCTCTCATCCAAGATGCTTTTCTCTAACTAATAAAGGTTAGTAATGGGTAGATTGGACAGATTAAAGAACCATAGGAAATAATCAAGCATGGTTTTCACATTTATTCCAACATAAGGTTGGCGGTAAATGTATGAACATGGAAATAAATTCAGCTACACTTAATTGTGTTTACAGGCATTTTTATATAAACTATAACATTTTACCATTTATTGCATTGACCTTTCAGTGTTACTGGAAAACTTGCAATTTTCTAATGCCTCTAGAGAAGAAACATGTCGTTGTTATGGCTCCCAAATGGCTCTTCATTTAGGATTACTTTGATCCTTGGATTTTGGCCTTAACAATTACAACGTTTTTGTGTTGGTAATATATTTTTATTCATTTCACTTTGTTACAAAAATTAACAACTGTTTTTTATTTGTTTAACATTTTAGGACAACCTTTAGATTCAAATGTTTAGTTCATTATCACTGAAATGCAACTAGAAGTTGCTTCTTATTTTTTTGCTTATTCCTTCACTTTCCATTAACATGCTTAAATGTAATTCTTGCTCCCCATCACGCTCTCTGTGAACCTGACCTCTTCTACTATGCTTTGTCTTTCTAAGGTGTTTTCCCTCCTACTTTGTTCACATCTTTCCTCATGTGTGGCTGGCCCTATTGTGCGCCCTTATATAAATATTTATATATATATATTTTATATAAATATAAATATTGTCCCTCCTCAGCATACACAGTTTCCCAGGCAGAGGGATGAGCTTAAGATGCAGCCATGCTTAACAGGAGTTGATTCTTCTAATGTTCTACAAAGAAACAGACACATCAGTATCAGTTCTGAAACATTGTTGCATTAATCTGTCAATTTAAATGTTGAATTACATTATCACAAGATAAAGATTAACAACCCTAAAAACGATAAAGAAAAATCTTCTCATAACATACTGTAGGTTTGCTGCTGCATTTGTTGTAGCTTCCTCTGTACATGTGGTTGTAGCTTCTTCTCTAAACAACATAAACCCTTTTCCCCGTCAAACACAGATGTGGAATCATTGTAAGATTAGAGTGTGAGGTGGGGGTAGTTACACCCCACGCTTTTGTGATGGGAAACACAGCTGCTGCAATACGTTAACCACACAGGGCAAAGGTCACTGAGGCTTGTCAGATTGTTGTGAGGATTTTTGTGGACTCGAGGCAAGAAGACCTGTGTTTTATGGCTCTGTTGGTCCGAGGTGACCACATGCAGCTCAGGTTTTTTGGGTTAATCATTACAGCAGATGTGAGAAATAATCGTGTGGTTGCATTTTCTGCAGAATTTGAACAGGTTTTTTTTACTGACAGAGAGAAAATCTTCGGCAGTAATTGTTTGGAGTGTTGTGGAGCTGAGATAAGTAGAGACGGCTGTAACACAGCAGGGTGTGCACTAGTGAGCCAGCAGACAGAAATGGAACAACTGCTTTCAGTGTTTGTTCCCACTGCTTTGTTGATTTAATCTAATGCTCAGTGTGTGTTTTTGTTTTACAGATGAGGTTTAAATGAGAAAAAACTGGAGGATTGTAAATGGGTTTTAGTATGTTGTGTGGTGGTTTGTGTGTTCATAAATGTGTCTTGTAGAGATTGACAAGGTTGTGATCTGTTAATGGACAGAAAGTGAATGACAAAAGGCATTTCATTAGTGATCATTCATCCTATTAGGCAGATGCCACTATTAACAGTAGATTGTGCAGGATTGCAGTGTTTCCACTACTACGTTTTTAAAGCAGCTCAGCAGGTCATCACAGCCGACACCCTCTGCTTCCTCACCTCTTCCGTGCTGTTCCTGCCTGTCTATATTCTGTTGTATACTTTGACAGGTGCCAGGCGTGTTTCGTTAAAAATGTATTTTCCTTTTGCGTGGAGAGCAAGCAACTTCAATCACATTTTTAAAATAAAGTAAATTAAACTCCTGTGTTGAAGTTGTTTTTTTCTGGAAATAGCATAACACAGATAACAGGTCGACTAGTATTGTGCATCTCCACCAATTCTGAAACAATAATTAGGTAACAGGTCATTTCTGACGTGCTTGGATTGTCAGTTGAGGATGTCGTAAACCGATAATTCCCTGTGTACTGTATGTATGCGTTGAAAATTAAAATAATTATTATGAACCTGACAAAATTCTGTAGATTCTGTAGATTTCATGAAAGTGACAACACTGAAGGGTGTATGAAAGAAGGATTTAAGCAAGAGTGAAGGTTTACAACACAGCCATGAAACCAGCTATAATTTGTGATCTGTAGACAGAGACCCTGTCTACATGACAGAAGGCAGAGCTGGAGGTGGCAGAGATGAAGATGCTGAGATTTGGGCATGAGCAGGATGAGTAGCATTAGAAATACGCAGATTAGAGGAAGAGCTAAGGTTAAACGGTTTGGAGAGAGAAAAGAGTATTTAAAAGAACAATAGGTGAGGTTGTGTTGCTATGTGGTAGATATATTGGACCAAGGGTCTTGGAGGTGGAGTTACCAGCCTGGAAGAACACAGGTTAGGATTAGGGATGTTGATATCCGGTGTTCCGATACTGTCCAGCACTTCATTTTTGACTCCTATATTGTTTTCTCCCTAAACTAATTTTAGATCACATTGCATATCACCTGTTGAAGAATTTTCATTAAAGCTAAAAAATGTACCATGTTTAATCCTAACATTTTATGTCTCAAACCCCACAACAATTCTTGATAGAATTAATTTACAAATTCAATAATATGTGGCTTTGATAAATAAAGTGGCAGTGCCACTACCATACTTTAAAGCCATTGTTTAGATTGTATTCCAGAACCTTCTCTTCTTTTCATGTTGTTTCGTGTTAGCAGGTCATTTCTGCTGCACATGTTTTATCCCTAGTCTGGCATTACATTTTAACTCTGGGCAGTATATCATTCCCTATGTTTTCTATATTCCGGTGCCAATGCCAAGATCCTTCATCCAGAAATAAACAGTGAAGGGCAGGTCTCCCTCATAGAGGTCTTTATAATAAAAGCTTTTCTTTTAGCTTTTACAGCTGTGCAGCACACCGCTGCTCTATAATTCCCACTGGCACAAGGAAGTTACGACGTGTAGCAAACCACCCTCTGTAAATCCACAGTACTCACAGAAACAGCATCCCTCCACAGAGAGCTGATCCTGTGTCTGCAGCTAATTCACGTGTTTGTGCTCTGCAGGGGGCCCTTCAGCGTGGTGCGGCGGTGCATCAACAGGGACACCGGGCAGCAGTTCGCAGTGAAGATCGTGGATGTGGCCAGCTTTACCTCCAGCCCAGGCCTCAGCACTGAAGGTGAGCAATGCAGCAATCTGTAGTTTAAGCTGTGAATGTGTTTAAAGTGTTTTAGAGATCTCACACCAGATGGATGGGGTTAATCAGCAAGATCTTCAGTCACAGGGAATTAAGCAGGCTTACGTCTTTTAACTAACCCCTACCTTGATGGAAATCACCCGCATGATTCTTCTGGTGGCTTTAACTGTATATATGTGATATTTAACACAAAATATGTCACAATATTTGTGTATGGAACATGCATCTGCAATATTATTTTAAAACAGGCCGTTTCTTACCATGTGGTTTTTGTGCAATATCATGCTAAGATGTGTGCATGTTTGTGCAGTGTAGACATGGAAAGAGATGGAGTTTTTTTCTGGAAAAGCTGGCGTTTCACTGTTTGCCATCTGTGAGGTCTCAGTAGGAGATGAGAGTGGCAGCCAATAACAACAAGACAAGGAAGTAACCCGAGGGTGTATGAGCGGAGAGAGTAAAGATGTTTACCAAGTGGTTCCCTAACAATTGTCTGCACCTGATGTAACCTGGATTAACCTGTTGTTAGTTGCGACCTTAGATCTAAATTTAACCACCTATTCAACCCCCTTCTCTGAAACATTTTTCCTCCCATTGAAACGTGAAAAAAAGTCTATTCTTGCCTAGTTCACCCCGTGGTTACTGGTCAGTGGAGTTCAAAACACAACTATGACCTAAAGGCAGAGGAGTGAAATCAAACATGGATTTTATGTGAATCTCTTCTACCTTAAATAAAACAAATGCTAATATTTTCAATAGATCATGTGGAATTTAGAGCTTAGAGAAATAGCAGTAGCTTTTGGAAAAGGAGATGAACTGCAAACTAGTCTTTTATTGACACCATTCTTCTTATTTGTTGATTCAGTTAGTCTAGTCAATGGTCAAAAATAGATTTATAGTGGTGGGTCATCATCAAGACACCATTGTGACCACATTGTTTGGTAGTCATCTTTGGGGGAATTCACCAAGAAAGTCATTTACATTTACTTGTGAAAGTTCATTTTCATTTACCCAAAACAAGATTTCCCAACACAAAATGTATTGTAATAGAATGTTTCTTCAACTGGTTCTAAAATCTGCTTGTAGAAAAGGACTTTGCTAAAAGAAGACCAAACTCAGTTGGCCATGGACATTTGAATTACCAACTGGGATAAACAACAACTGAAAATAAAGCAATAAATATCATAAAAATAAACCCAACCCCCTCCCAAAAAAAAAAAAAAAAAAACCCAAACACTAACCACGCACGCACGCACGCACGCACGCACGCGCGCACACACACACACACACACACACACACACACACAAACCCAAACAATGTCCATTCTCCCATGTCCAAACACAATAAGCAGTAAAGCACAGCCTGCCTTTATCTCCTCCTAGTCAGGCTGATTGCCCACAGCTGTGTGACCAATGGCTGCTGAGACGTGCGTAATCAGCACAGGTGAAGCCAATAACTGCTGATTAGCAGACAGACAGAAATGGTACCAATGTTTCTGGAAAAAAAAATTTGCATTGACCATTTGATCACCTCAACACTGCTATTATCATCCCTCATGAGCATCACTGTCTCCATTGACAAGGTTCCAAGTTGTTCGAGCTCTGTTGCCCGCTGTCTGTGGGTTCCTTGTTGCCGTGCGGACACTGGGCATCATTGTTACGCCCCCACAGTGGATGAGACGGGAGTAGCACAAGCATAAATGAGCAGAGAGACGATAATGAAAGCTAAAGGAGCAGAGAAAGGCGGCCTTGTGGCGGGGATTCAGCAGCATTTCTCACTATTGCATAATGATCCTGATCTGTCAGGACACAATAAAGACACACAGGCATACACACCGCACACTTGCACACTTAAATGGGGAGTGCACTGTGCCAACTAGGTTTTTTAATAGTGAGGAGCTTAACAGCAGTGAATTGTGAGTGTCAAGCTGATGCAGCTCTCTACATCTTTGTATCCTCACTTGTTTCCCAGAAGTCGGTCATTCAGTTAAAGTCGCTGCATTCATGTCATTCTGTCGGATACCAGTCGATAAACATCCCTCTGTATGGCCACTATGTACGGTCTTAATCAAGAATTGAGCTACTGTCAGCTCTCAGCTAAATGCTTTGCAGCTCCCTCTGGTGGTGCAGTCGAGGTTTAGCAAACAGTAGGCTGGTCCATGCCACTCTTTCATTTCCTACATTCACCACCCAGGCAAAGACAATATTCAGTTAAACCTTCTGCCAGATATAAATGAGCCTCTGAGCTGTCTAAATACATTTTTACAACACTGTCTACCAAAGTATGCAAATAAAGGGAGTGTCTTTATTTTCCAGATCTAAAGCGAGAGGCCAGCATCTGCCACATGCTCAAACACCCACATATTGTGGAGTTGCTGGAGACATACAGTTCTGATGGAATGCTCTACATGGTCTTTGAATTGTAAGTCTATGCATTGTGTATTTAATAATAGCTTGTGTGTATGATTTTGTGGTCTAAGCAAACACCTTTATATATATATATATATATTTATATATATATATATATGGATATTTGTAAAAAAAGAAACACTCACAGTGCGCTCTTTACTTAATGTAATAGGTGGCATTAAAATATAAATAATGAAACAAACAATAGATGTTTATATCTAAGAGTAAACCTGTCACCTGATGTTTTTTTGGTGTGTGCACAGACAGAAATGTGGTGCAGTGACATCATTCCGTGAAGTTGTCTGTAATTTGTGGAAACAAGATTTCTCCTGTCGTGCTGACCCTTAGTTGTTTATCTTCTACCCTCAATCAGCATGGATGGTGCAGACCTGTGTTTTGAAATTGTTAAACGAGCCGATGCTGGCTTTGTGTACAGTGAAGCAGTGGCCAGGTAAGAGACAGCCTAGAAGCTGCAAATATGTTAATATGTTTTGAATATTAATAAAGCCTGAGGAAGTCACATTGTTTATGTGGTTGATGACGTCTGTCATTGCAGCCATTACATGAGGCAGATTTTGGAGGCTCTTCGATACTGCCACGACAACAATGTGATTCACCGTGATGTAAAGGTGAGAGATGTCCCAGGCATGCATGTGAAAAAACTGTCACACAAAAGTTGCGCAAAACGTCAAACTTTATCATCTGTAACTAAAGAAAGCCAAAGGTGACATGTTTCCTAATCTTAACTAAAAACATTTGCTCCATCTAAAAAATAAAAAAAAAATCCAGTGCAAGATTTCCTTTTTGTCTTCAAACAGTAGCCAAACTCAAAGTTGCATGTCATGGTGTCAGGATCTGTAAGGACATCTTGTAGCCAGATTAGCATCACCCCCTGATTCCTGCAGGATTAGCCTCCTAACACAACAGGCAGCAACCACTAACAGAGCAGATGGAGCAGTTAAACACACTTCCATTCACATGAGGCATATACACACACGCACACACGCACACATACAACACAGAAGCTTCACTGTGGCCTGGTTTGCACCATAAAACCAGTACGTTAGAGCCTCTAGGTTAGGCCTTGGTGAAGCTGGATTTCCTCACACTAATGCTGGTGTTTGTTTTAGGACTTATCTGTTAAACCCAGATGGACCAAAATAAGCCTAGAGAGTTGTTCTCAGTTGAGTTACATTGACAGATGTGTTTTGGTTGATTTAACCTGCCAGTCATTTCTTTGTTTTTTGTGACTGAGCTTATGTTTGGGAAAGGAAACAGACTCATATCTCTAAAACCAACATAGCATAGACTTTAATATAATATATTTGATTTAGCATTATTTACCACATACACTTTTATGTGAACATAATGTTTTACCAAAACACATATGTAGACACAATCAGTTATCCACATGGGCCAGTAGAGGGAGGCAAATTGTCATTCTGTGGGGTTGGATTTGGTAACACCAACGCCATTCCTTGGATTGCCACAGACGACCTCCTGAATTCAGTGGTGGAGCTGTTGGAAGTCCCATCATTCCAGAATGGCAGCCTGTTTCCCAGTCGGTGTCCTACAGCCTGGAGTGCTGTTTTGCGCACTGATCCTGACAACAGGAAATACATGACGGGATCTAAACAGCTGTTGAATGCAGAGAGCAGCAGCATCACTTCGTTGGTGTGGTCTACTAGCTGCAGGTAGTCACAGGATACGGTGTCACTGAGCTGAGTAAGGATGTAGATGGGGCGAAAAGCGTGATATGGTCCGAAACACACAGAGAAGACAAACAGAACAAAGAAGGACTTTTTGGCGGTGCATTTATATTTCTGTGCGTTGGGAAGACCTGGTTTGTCGCGTGAAGCCCTCAGTAACTGGGAAGCTATCTTTATGTATGAAATCACCAGCATAACAAAGACTAGCCAGAACAGCACCACCAGTACTCCATTGAAGTAGGCTTTCCCTTGGACCTTGCGTCTCTTCTTGTACTGGAAGCACCGGTCAGTGTCCTCACTATCCTCTGCTGTAGCAATCATAAAAACCATCGTCATGAGCGACAGACTCCATACGATCCCACACACCAGCCAGCTCCACGGCCAGCTCTGACCCCACAATTTCATGGTTAATCTTCGCCGTGCTTTGCTTTTCCCCTTCAGCCGCAGGTACCTGTCCAGGCTAATGAGGCCCAGCAGCAGGATGCTGATGTACATGTTCATGTAGAAGAGATTCCCCACCAGTTTGCAGGCTACAGGTCCCAGCACCCACTTGTTCCCATTGACATGGTAAAAGATCCTGAAGGGGAGACACGCTAGCAGGACCAGATCAGCCACAGCACAGTTGATGAGGAATACTCGCACAGAATTGCGACTTGATTGCAAAAAGAGGAAAACCCACAGGGCAAAAATGTTACCTACAAGCCCCAAAATGAAAAAGATGGAATAAAAAGCTATGAGTGGCAGACGAATGTTAGTGTCGTCGGGATGACACCCAGTCTGATTTGAAGGTGTGGACGAAATATGGATTGATGATGCCACTGAAAATGGGTGGAACGCTGGAGCCAATGTAGGAGCAGAGGAGTGAGCAGACATGGCAGCAGAGGTTGAATGGTTGAAGTGGGACAAAGAGAATGCACTCATTTTGACAACTTGGAGCTGGGAAATGGAGCTCTGAGGAAGAAGACACAGACAGAACAATGAATGAAAGTTTAACTTTATGAGTCATATAGACACTACTCCAATGTGTGATCTTCTGCAAATGTCACAGAGATGCAAATGTGGCACTGACGGGAAATACAAAAATTATTGCTCTTTTACACCTACACCTGTGACCTCATGACAATCAGTCTGACACCTGGTTTATCCAGCACAGAAAATTGCACAGAAACTCAGTCTATCTAAAACTTGTGGATAGAGCTGGATTATCACCTTTTCTGAGGGTATATTCTCTGTTGTATTTAAGACAAGCAGAGAGTGAAGGGAAACAGCAGGAGGAGATATGAGACTAAGAGCAACAGCAGTTTCTAGTGTTAAAAGTGAATGTATTTCACTGGTTTGACATCTGCACCCTGCAGCAGTACAACAGATCTCTTTCACAGATTACATATTACATCAGAGCTCACCAGAAACAGAATACGTATTGAAGTATCAAAACCACATAACAGCCATCAATAGAAGACATATTATACAGAACAACTCCAGTCCCACCAGCATTTAGTCTGTATGGTTGCTGTTTGATCTAGGCTGTAATAGACCAGACTTCAATGTTCTTCAATAACTTTTTTTGTCTAAATTTTAAAAAGCCTGTCACCATATTGTGATAGTGCACTAAAATGTATCTAATCTTTTAGATATTTAAGCAAAAGTTAAACAGGAAGATATAAAGTAAAATTAAAGATTTGTTGTTTAGCTTGTGCTATTTTTGTTTTAACAATCCTGATTCCGTAATTCAACAAAAATAATTGCATTATAAATATCCACAATCGAGCCATCTTACCTGTGGACAGACAAAAAGAGCGAACTTTTTGTTTCAGCACAGCCGCGGGTCAGAAGTATGTTTCTGTAACGAGAGGTCAGCGAAGAATTCACTTGACTGGCCAACATCAAAAGAAGCAAACAGTTTTTTAAAAATCACCTTATACCACATGTAATGAAAGAGGATGTTGAAGAAATGTTCCTCCAGACTTTTGTGGCCTGTATCTTATATCGATTCCTCCTTCTCAGTTATCAACCTGAACTTTTTCTTTGTTCCCCTCCCTCTCTCTCTTTCTCTCTCTCTTTCTCTCTCCACCCCCACCCCCCACCCCCGTGGCTGATTATGCTTCCGCCTCTTGTCACCAGCTCCCCAAGCTTGGTTACCAGAAATCTAATCAGTTTAACAGTTCAAATGAGACAGGAAGTGAGCCCACCAACGCCTGCTTTGAACACAGAACAGACTGTGGCCAGCATTTGAAACATAATTCAGTCAATTATGTTTTTCTTCATTGATTATAGGACTATCATAGAATGATACAAAGAAAGTTCACAAATCTTGATATCTTGCAAAATATTGCTCTGCACAGCTTCTGTTTGTTGAACACGGGTTTTGAAAATAATCAGCGATGACCTTTTTCTATTTCCTTTTTCTGCAGCCTCACTGTGTGCTGCTGGCCTCTAAGGAGAACTCTGCTCCTGTCAAACTGGGAGGTTTTGGCGTGGCAATTCAGTTGGGAGAGTCGGGATTAGTAGCTGGAGGTAGAGATTTACCTCTGTGGTCACACTGCACATGGACATGCTTGCTGATCTAGGGTTTTTAAACAATTAGTCAAAGTGTTCCTGCTTCCCTACATACACTTGTGTGTGAGTTTAAGTGTATTTTGGCACAATTCTCCATTTGCTTCTCTCAGGAAGAGTCGGTACTCCTCATTTCATGGCCCCAGAAGTGGTAAAGAGGGAGCCGTACGGCAAACCTGTGGACGTATGGGGATGTGGAGTCATTCTCTTCATCCTCCTTTCTGGCTGTCTGCCCTTCTATGGCACCAAGGATCGTTTGTTTGAGGCCATAATTAAGGGAAAATATAAGGTGAGGTCCAAATGGAACATCTGTATCAGTTCCCCACTGAAGTTATGCGAAACCAGAACATTGAATGTAAGGTTGGCTTTTCATTTTTATTGATTATTTCGTCCTTCCTTCCTGTTGCCAAGATTAAGTTAGTGAGCGGTTTTGAAAAATGTAACATCAAGCTGAAGAGGCTGATGCATAACTGCGTAATGTTGGTTTCAGTGGAAAGATCTACTTTCATGACTAGTGCAAAAAACAGTCAGATTACTTGAATGTGCTTTTCATACTTGGCCAATAAAGCTGACTTGCTTTTGTCTGTTCTCTCCAGATGAACCCACGCCAGTGGACCCACATCTCAGAGAGCGCCAAAGACCTGGTGAGACGCATGCTGATGCTGGACCCTGCTGAGAGGATCACTGTGTATGAGGCCCTCAATCACCCCTGGCTGAAGGTAAGATCATAAGCACGCAATTTTTATTACAGCTAGGTCTGCAAAAGTGCCTCAGGTAAAGATGCTAGTCTTAACCAATTGGCATCTTTCTATGTCTATATTATAAGATTTCCTTTTTATTTCCTTAGAATGTATTTCCAGGTGCACTCACACCAGCACACCGTGCCTGGGTGCGGCACACTTCCTTGCTACACTGTGCACACTTACACTGTTGGAAGAAGTGGCTCAAGGCACGGTACACTTGGTCACGCATTCACACAAGCGTGGTTAAGTACGTCTCCTGCTGCCTCCGCAACAGTATTTGTGTGCGCACAGCATGACTGACTGTGAATCGCTGCCTTTCACAGTTAGTAAACAAAGATATTGGAGAGGGCTGACTATTTTAAAGATTCACAAACAACTAGACAGTTATTGCTTCTGTGTTGTTGGATTCACTCTCAGTCGTGTGATATGGGTCTAGAAGTCTTTACTCATCAGTGACTCAGCATCACTTCCTGCAGCATTGAGTGAATGCGGTGATGCAGTAGGTTCTACAGTAAAAACACAAGGATGTGTCCCATGTGCCCGGTTTTGTGTTCCTAGTCTCGCATACTTCCTAACCCGCATCTGTGTCCGTGTTTGTGTTTAGGAGAGGGACAGGTATGCCTACAAAATCCACCTCCCGGAAACGGTGGAGCAGCTGAGGAAGTTCAACGCCAGGAGGAAGCTGAAGGTCAGAGCAGTGTCTTTAAAATCAAATCAAAGATAATAGAAAGCGTCACCTTCTCTTCAAAGTGCAGTTTTTTTACTTACCCACAATATTCACATGACCCACATTCTGTAAACAAAGTATATTCATATCCACCGGACATCACTATGTAAACTCCATTTCTTAGGGGGCAGTCCTGGCTGCTGTCTCAAGCCACAAGTTTAACTCCTACTATGGGGACCCCCCAGAGGAGCTCCATGACTTCACAGATGACCCCACCTCGTCAGGTAATGCCAACACTGGTCTGTGAAAGGAGAATGCAGGGATGTGTGTGAAAATACTGTATTTGTGTCATACAGGGTCAGTGATGAAAAACCAACATCAGTGTGAAAGTCAACTTTTTAGGACCGTCAGTGATGAAAAACCGTGTCTTTCAGTGTGAAAGTCAACTTTTTAGGACCAGTTCCTATTCTGTTTTGATGTTTCTATTTTTAGTGCCTCTGATCTCTGCCAGCTGTCTGCACAGAACTTCCTGTCTTTGTATGTTTAAAAAACACACATCAGCAGCATCACTTCCCTGTCTTGGCCCCTTTCACTTCCTATGATGATAAAGTCAGTTGCCCACTGCAGACGCCTGAGACCTAAATGATTTTACGTCCGATGATCAGCGTGTTATCTTTGAAGACAAGGAGTAAAATATCAAGCCAAAAATCTCAAAATGTTGCACAATAGCAATTGAAAGGAGCAACCACCAAGGTCTCGGCCCATTGTTTTGTGAAAGGTTATACAAAACTTCAAATATAATTAGAGGAAACTGATTTTGTCAGCTGTAAGCCTGTTCTACGTGTGAAAACACCGTCAATCAGACAAGCTGCGTTTGCACATAAACATAATCTATTTGAGAAATCGTTACAATGAGTAATCATGAGGCTTAATGTATTTCCTCCTCACCTTTATCTAAAACACTGTAGACCTTAGTTCTGCAGAGCCAGCAGCCTGACTTTAGTCATGCTTCCTGTTTAGTTTTTTTCTTTCCTGCAGACGAGAAATGAAAGACGGTCACTGGCATGTTTGCAGTTTAAAAAGCTTTTTACTTTTGTTGAACTTTACTCTGTCTTCATTTCTGCATCTTCATTCTTTCACATCATTAATAGCACATGTGGTTTTAACATCTGCATCCTGTGTTTAAAAACATATTCGCCCATAGATGTGCTGAGGCGACTGGCACAATTATTCTAGGTTCAAGCATTATTTGTTTGAGGATTTGCAAACAGCAGCCGCTTCTCAGCAGAAGCAAAACAAAAAGAAAAACGAAAACTGCTCCAAACAGAGACAAGAGAACATGTGTTTGCAACGGCAAATTGCACTTAATAGGACAACACAGAGACTCAAATATTTGCATGTGATGGAACGCCCCATGCATGATAATACATGTTGTAATTAGAAGACTCACACTGAAATCATGTAAATGGTTGAATTCTAATTTCAAATTGAAAACAATCATCTCTCACTTGACCCACAATAAATTAAATCTGCTTTTAGCATGAGTATTTAGATAAAGATAAAGATATTTACATTTGTGTACTCGTCGACATTAGTACTAATAAAGGTACTTCTTTAGGTTGGGTCTAAAGAAGCGATTACGTAGAATTCAGTATTATTTAGGTGGTGTAGCTGTGTAGGAGGTGCATTCTGTTAGAGCTCAACCAAAACCACAGTGAGAAAACCAAGAAGAAAACAATGACATTCATCTTTCTGTTTCTGTATTTCCCTCTTTCTGTACTGTCCCTCTAGTCTAAGTCAGACCACTTTCCATGAGGCTTATCACTGCGACACACTGTACATATGTTGCAATATGTAATGTAATTGTATGTAAGTTCTGAGAAACAACGGAAATTTGACTAAGAGACATGACCCCGTAAACATGAAATTCAGTGAATTTTGATTATTAGTTGTTACAGCATCCACACCACAGACTCTGTTGGTGTCTATTCCCTGTGTCTATTCTATTTCTTCTCTCTGAGTCTTTCTTGTCTGTTTTGGCCTCAAAAGTCTTCTTTTGTAGTGGCTGCACAACCTCTTTTCTCTACTCTCATTCTTACATTTTTCTGTCGTTTCTTCTTCTGTGCTCTTTCTAGGACTGCTAGCTGCTGAAAGTACGTATCCCTCCTCCTCACCTGTAGACTCCAGATGTGTGAGAGCCATCTCGACATTGTCATTTGTTGCTTTTTTGCTCAAGTTCTTGTGTGTGTGTGTTTCTTGCTTGTCTGCTTCCCCTTTCTCTCTTTTCTGTTTCCCACACTCTCTTATGAATGTGTCTTTAATCTAATTTCTTGTTTGTCTATATTAATAATGGTACTCTGTTTACTTGCACTTCAGCTAAACTTAAACACTTAAAAGGCTCATAGCATTAAGGATTGTTTCAAAAACCACAATTTCTACAGCGCTTTCCTAAGACTTTACAGTGATTTCATTTGCATATTATTTTACACGTAGCATTAGTTCTTTAGAAACACTAGAATGGAGTAAAATTTGCTGAAGGATCTGTTTAACATTTTGCATTTTCACTCTAACGAATATTTTGACTTTAGTTGTAAAGCGTCACCTTAGGCCTGCAGTTTATTTGTAATTTTTTTTCAAAATCCACTTTTGCACATTTTTGTTCTTTACTGTTCTGCTCCTCACCCGTTATTCCACACTGACTTTGACTGAAGTGACTTTCTAATGTTGTATTGATGCCATGTCACCGCTGTTTCTCTGGTTTCGCTGCATGTGTGGGCGATGCAGCAGGTACTAGGAGGTTAAATGGTTCTGAATGTTCTTGTGTGTCTCTGTGTTGTGATTTTTAATGTTAAAGATAATTTATTTATTTTTATTATTTTGTTCTGTCTGGAGTTTGTGTTGTCCTGTGTGAATGTTAGTGTAACTCTGTACATGTGGGTGCCTGTTGTGTCCGTGTTGTGTTGCATTTTGCGTTTTTTTGTTGTTGTATGTTTGCAGGGACTGCTTGTCATACTTGAGAGTGTTTGTTATTTGTATTTGTCAATAATGTGGACATGCAGTGTATGATGGTATAACCACACTGTGTATTCTGCAGGGGCAGTGTCACAGGTTTTAGACAGTCTGGAGGAGATCCATGCACTGACAGACTGCAGTGAGAAAGACATGGACTTTCTGCACAGCGTTTTCCAGGATCAGCATCTCCACACTCTGCTAGATGTAAGGAACTCCTGCACATATATTTTCTGTTGTGACATAAATGCCCAGTAGGTGTCAGGACAAGCCAAGAAAAACATCTGCTGACAGGATCCCCAGTGTGTTAATTGCCTTGGTACACAATCTGACTGTACAAAATTATGTAATAGCCAAACTAGCTAAAAGATAATAACTTGTTGTTAAATGTTTCATTTGAGCATCCACGACAGTTATAGTCACCACAGTGGCTGCCTATGAGCCAGTTGAAGTTTAGGAGAAAGAAGACTTTGTAGTTGCTATTCCTTCTAAGGATTTTTTTAACTGTATGTATTTGTTTGTTTTTTGGTTTCAGCTTTATGACAAAATCAATACGAGGTCATCTCCTCAGATCAGGAATCCTCCAAGTGATGGAGTTCAGAGAGCTAAAGAGGTGAGCAAATAATGCTGCTGTAAATCGTACAGTCAAACTAAAGGCTCCCTGTCCTTAGTTTGACTGTATGATTATTAACATCAAACTAAAGACACACGATTTATTCATCATTTATCATTTCAATATTGACATATTCATGTATACGGTACGGTCATTGGTTTATGTATGGAGGAGGTCATTTCAACTCAATTATTTTTTTCATTGATCAGTCATTGAAAAGATCATTAAGACAATAGTAAAATTGACTCGACTTCATTTGGCATGAATAAATAATGAATTCAACCAATTTACCATCCCTTAACAATGATACTTTCACTTCAAACACCTATAATTGAATAAACCATTGCATGTTCAGACCCATGGCAGAATAATATCAGACATTCAACAACATGATTCACAGCTGAGCTCTGGATGATTCTACCTGTGATCTCAGTGAGACACTGGGCAGAGCAGCCCTATGTTTTAACTCAACTACACAGATTCACACACCATCTTTCTCCTACTGTGTTCATAGACAGAGATGCCTGAAATAAATCTCCCACATTGCTACTTATCAGTGAGCCTTTATAGTTCAGTTCTATTGCCATATGCTGGCCAAAGAAACACTGAATAATTACTGCATTTGATGGAACGTGGGCTGGGATTTTTAGTACCCCATGTTGTCTACTTCTTAACACTCGCAACACTCATTACTTTAAGACCACCAAAGAGATAATCTAGAATGTTATATAAATAATATTTTGTCTTTATCGCATTCCACATTAGGTGCTGGACACCATTGCCTGTTACCCAGAGAACATGGAGGCCAAAGAGCTCAGGAGGATCCTCACACAGCCTCATTTCATGGTAGAGAAAAGCAAACTCAGCTCTTACTGTACATGTGTCATTGGATCAGGTTGGTGTGCAGATACAAATCTTGCCTCATGGTGTGACATCAGCACCCACTGTGTTAGAGATGTTATTCTCAGCCGATGTTACTCCTTTGACCACAAAGCTGCTTAACACCTGAGCCTTGGTGAGAACTCAGACAGGCATGGTCACACACGACGGGAGCTAAGCAGACGTAGGTATGGGCCACGTGTTAGGACTTCTGCAGGAACAGAGAAGTGAAAGGATTCAGCTAGATAGATATGGGAACTGCTGCATGAAGCTGAAGAACAGTGCTGGCATTCTTTTTAATTTAATTTATTTTGTGATATCAGTTTTGATAATGAATGTTATTTCTGCGACACTTTATTTTTTTCCTTTTTGTTTGATTGCTCTGGTTGTGCGTTTTCAGCTAAATGTTGGATATTGGGTTTTGCCTCTGTTGAATCAGTGTGTGTGACACTTACTAGTGTTGACAGTGGTAACAGTCGAGGTGTGGGTCAGTCCATTAGTCCCTCTGCTCTCAAACTGCAGACTTTTAACAGTGAGCTGCTAAGATGGATTCTGATATAAAAAGAGCAAAGGGGAAAGGTTAAAAAGAGTGAAGGGTTTTTGATAAACTGTCGTAGAGCTGGGAGATTGTTTTTATACTTGGATCATCATCAGGTCTTATTCTGTCCATACAACCAGGCTCTACTGCAGACCCACGATGTTGTGGCCCATGAAGTCTACAGCGATGAGGCCTTGAGGGTGACACCCCCACCTACTTCACCCTACCTTAACGGAGATTCCCCAGATAGCACCAGCGGGGACATGGACCTGGAAAATGTCACCAGGGTTCGCCTGGTCCAGTTTCAGAAGAACACAGATGAGCCTATGGTGCGTGAACATACAATGTAACGTCCGCCTGCCTGTTGTGTGGTTTAGTTTAACCCTCTGTTTTCTGTCTTCCAGGGCATCACTCTAAAAATGAATGAGCTTAACCATTGTATTGTGGCACGCATCATGCACGGTGGCATGATTCATCGACAAGGTGAGAACACACTCCACTAACTTACCCACTGTCTTAACCTTTTTTTTATGTAAAAAAGGCATATAGGAACAATTTGTACTTGTCGTTGTCTCAATCATTCCCAGGAATAAACCAGGCTCATCTTTACAAAACACTGATGTTTCATTATCCATGAGTCTCCTCTTTGTCATTAATTTATTTTTTCTCATACGACAGGGACTCTGCATGTCGGAGATGAGATCAGGGAGATTAATGGCATCAGTGTGGCCAATCAGACGGTAGAGCAGCTGCAAAAGATGCTGGTGGGTTTGACACACTATTTAAAAAAATCTATTAGGTAATAGCATTTATACCAGGACTGCAAAGTCATTCATTCACTTCTAAGCTGTAGGATTTTAAATCTCTATAGTTGTAGAGGCCTAAATGTTTACATTTGTCTGCTCTCAGTGTCTCTGTTTAATCAATCTTCTTTTTACCTTACCCACAGAGGGAGATGAGAGGAAGTATCACCTTCAAGATTGTGCCCAGTTACAGGTCCCAGTCCATGTCCTGTGAGGTGAGACACGCAGACAAAAACATTTCTGTTTTATTTCTGCAGATTATTCACTAAAACGATTTTTCATCCTGCTTTTTTATTCCTGCTACAGAAAGAGTCTCCGGATGTTTCCAGAGAGTCTCCTGCCAACGGACACGCCAGTGTTACCAGCTCCATCCTGGTACATTAAATAGATAGATATACAGTGTTTACTTCATTCATTGATGGCAATAAAGAACCTATTGTTACATTGCATGAAGGTCAAGTGTTTGTACCTTAAAACTATATCATCCACAATTAAAATCAATTGTTTAAAATGTTGTTTCTGCTTCCTTAAATAAGCAACAATCACAAATGTTTAAGCATATTGTTTCTTTTCTCAGGACCTGCCATCGACAATTCAGCCTAAAGGCCGTCAGGTGAGGTTTCCTGCTCCTTTAAAACAAAACTGCACTCCCAGTTTTATTGTCTGAACCATCAGTAAACAGGTCATGAGTTGTCTCTCTACAACTGAGGCTGCATGAGTTGGATTTCCCTCATCCATCCCTTAGAACCTAGTATTATTGGCCAGAACTATGGTTTGCTTCCGTCTGGACGTCATTGATGATTTCTTTTGGTGAATGTTTGGGCTTCGCAGAGCACCATCTGAGCAACAATAAACTACTAATTCCCAATTTTTAACCTTCTTTGTTAGTGTTGATTATATTTATGTTTGTTGCATGTTTTTTCTGCCTGAAGATATCACTCAAAATAAAACTTGTTTTTGTTCTTCAGCCTTTGAAGCACAAAAAAGTGTTTAAAACTGTATCATAGTCATACCATATCTAGTGTTGGTCCATCCTGTTCCCTTTCCTTTGTTCACACCCTCTCCCCTCTACATTTCTGCTGCATGATTTATGTGTAAGTGTGTGTGTGATACTCTCAACCCCATAGATCTCCAGATCTACTATCAAGGACAAATTGTCCATCAAGGTAAGATGTCTCTACATGGACCCTCTGTAACAGTAGATCCAACCACCCCTTTCACTTCACTGTCCCTCTAGTCTTAGCAAGATCTCATGCTAGTTGCTCCAGGCTTCATCACTGGCTACAAAAAAATAGATCTGCTCACCAGTCGTCGTTAACACGTGTGCCTGCAGAGGTACCAGGGAAAAGCACATCGTCTGCTCTTTGTATCTGTGCTTTTTTCAGCTTCTGCCTGATTTCCAGCCTGTGTTTCTATACACTCCGTGTCTTAGCGGCTTTTCCTGTTGTGTTTTCCCATGTGTTCTTGTTACTTCGATGTCCACCATTATTTCAGTGTATGCAGATTTATGTCCCTTTTTTGGCAAATGTTTTTGTCTCATTTGTCCTGGCCTGCAACAGATCTATGTCCGAGCACAGTTTGAGTATGACCCTGCCAAGGACGACCTCATACCGTGCAAGGAAGCAGGCATTCGCTTCCAGGTGGGGGACATAATTCAGATCATCTCCAAAGACGACCACAACTGGTGGCAGGGGAAGCTGGAAAACACCAAGAATGGCACAGCCGGTCTCATCCCATCACCTGAGCTGCAGGAGTGGTGAGTGAATGTTGTTTGACAGCCGTTTTCAGTGCTGTGTGAAAAAGAAGTGTCTTAAATAAGTATCTTCAAACTGAAACGACTCACACTTTAAAATGATTGTAAATCCAAAAAAAGGTCACACACTCAGAGTCTATACCTCTGCTTTTAGGCGCGTTGCCTGCATTGCAATGGAGAAGACCAAGCAGGAGCAGCAGGCAAGTTGCACCTGGTTTGGCAAAAAGAAGAAACAGTACAAAGACAAATACCTGGCCAAGCACAACGCAGGTGAGCAGTCAAACATTTTAAAGTTTACTGGGATTGCAAGACTATCAAAAGCTGTCGTCACAGGAGAAACTGTAGTACAATTGAAATACCTGCTCCAGAAGGTCCTGCAGTGACCTGAACACCTCCATATTGTCCAGTCTGTCCAATGGCTGCACGCTCCTTTGAGCCCCTCCATCTGAGAGACACCCTGCCCTCCACCCCTGTCCCACTGCTGCCTAACTAACACTGTTATAACAAAGTGCTTTTTAACTGTTTCAAATGTGTGTTTAATTTGTTGTCTGTGTTTTATTTATGATGTCTGGTTTTATATTAACTAGTCCACTTTCCCACCCTTTGTCCATATTCCATGCTGTCTCTTACCCACTGGTGTGGCTGCATGTAAGTAACTGCACAAAGCTGCTGTCCAGCTTCTCTCTTCTTCCTCCTCTTTTATACTTGCTTTTGCGACGTCCTCCTCCTCCTCCTCCTCCTAATGTCTTCTTGACTTTTATATGATGACTGTGGTTGTCAGTGTAATTCAACACTGCTTTACATGGTGATACATTCTGTTGTTACTTTGGGGATCGGTTATTGTGCCAATGTATAAAAAACAACACACACAACAAGTGTTCGGGCTAATAGTAAATGGAGGAAATCAGAAATACTGTAACCTCCTTTTTTAAAGTTTAACTACATACTGTAACTACATATGTAATTCTAGTCAAATATTTACATTCCCATCCCATAAACTATGTCCCATTATTAAAAATAACATTAATATATAAATCATAATCACAAAGTGACAAAAACAATGAAGTAAGTCTTAGTTGAGTGATTTTTTTGTTTTAACTTGGAGGCTCAGGTTGTCTTTTCTGTCACATTTACTTGATCCATCTTGTTTGTATTTCATCTGACTCTACGCAACCTAATGAGTTCTATCTATCCTGCAGTTTTTGACCAACTAGACCTGGTGACCTATGAGGAGGTGGTCAGGGTGCCGTCATTCAAGAGAAAAACACTGGTTTTGCTCGGTATGAAAACAAACCTTATTTAATTTACCTGTTTTTATCATATGATCATTGTTTTTTATGAAGATAATGTTAAACATCACCATTTCTACTTTTCATTCAGGTGCTCACGGCGTTGGCAGGAGGCACATCAAGAACACGCTCATCACCAAACATCCAGATCGGTTCGCATACCCCATCCCCCGTAAGAAGAACACATACATTCACAATAGCACACCCACAATGATGACAAAAATGACCAATTAAAACATTCAAAAATAATAAATCGCTCCTCTGACTGTCAGACACAACACGACCCCCCAAGAAGGATGAGGAGAATGGAAAGAACTACTATTTTGTGTCACATGACCAGATGATGCAGGACATCAGTAATAATGATTACCTGGAGTATGGCAGCCACGAGGACGCCATGTATGGCACCAGACTGGAGACCATCAGACAGATCCATACACAAGGAATGATCTCTATCCTGGATGTGGAACCACAGGTAACAAATACTGTAGATAAAAAGAAATAGTATTATTCCTATGATGTTGCAGTTTTTGTACTTTTTGGTCATATTGTGTAAAAAAAACAAACATGTGCTTCTCATCAGGCTCTGAAGATCCTGAGGACAGCTGAGTTTGCTCCGTACGTCGTTTTTATCGGAGCCCCTACCATCACCCCTAGCCTGACTGAGGTATGGACTTCCAAACTCCTCTGTTTTTTTTATTGCTCTCCTCTCCATAACTAACAAAACCTGCATGAACTTACAATACATCCTTCTGTCACACTGGGAGTGGAGTTTGAATTCACATACTTCTGCACCTAAATATAGAGCAGTTATTGAGTTGTAATTGATTAATGCTTTGATTATTTTCTTGGATTCTATTAGAAACAACAATAATCACTGTATGCAAATATATAAAATGATTATTATAGATATATAGATAATAACAACAATAATAAATCCATCTGATTAATCTGATTTAAGATTTTGTTGAATGTTGAATTCAAATACGAAAAAAAAACACTCCACGTGAAGACGTTTCTGCATTTGTGTTTTCTGTCACTGCATGCGTGCCGTTTGCTTTACATGTCTTTGTATTTTCTTCGGCACGGTTTTTTTTCCATTTGCATGCAAGCTTCCAAAGTGGTGCAGGAAACTTCCTGTAAGTACTGACTTGGGACTTGTAAAGTGTATAGAGCTAGTATTTGTCTAGTATGTGTTAAAGACTTTTATGAGTATCCCCTTAAACCACAAGTTAAAATACAATATTTAACCCTAAAAAGTATTTTTGGATAGAAACAAACCTGACTGACTACAGGGCCCAGCTCAGGCATAAATTTCCACCTAAAAGACACCATTTTCTGCTTTCATTAATCTATTTGGACGCAAAAATGTAATAATAACTTATACTTAAATAAAATATAAAACATCGTCCAATCATTAAGACTTTTCCCAGACTCCAGGCAGAGCTTTTTTGTGGACAACTTTAGGGTCATGGACACCCCTTTTGAACAACCACGAATCACGAATAATGCTGTAGTTTGGATGTTACCGTTATGTCACTTTCTGGATGATAAACAGACAAGGAGACAGAGAGTTGAAAATGACAAAACATTGTATGTGATTGACAGCTGGATTGTCCACAAGGCCACCTTCAGTGGTAAAGTGGTCTTTTTAACTGATCCACATACTGTAGGTTTAAGGGAATCACCAAACTACACATCTGAATTTCTCTTGCATTTCTAGACATAGTTTAATGACAGCAGTAATGACGTCACACGCTGAGCTCTCTCTGGTCTGTCTTGCTCTCAGGATGACTCTCTCCAGCGGCTTCAGAAGGAGTCTGAGATGCTACAGCGAACCTACACCCACTACTTCGACCAAACCATCATAAACAACGAGATTGACGACACCATCCGCCTGCTGGAGGAAGCTGTGGACCTGGTGTCCACCACCCCGCAGTGGGTGCCTGTCTCCTGGGTGTACTGACACACACTCCACAGTGGCCACTCCGTCCACAACAACAACAACAACAACAACAACCCTCAACGGTCATCTGTGATCCAACATGGATGCTAACCTTTTGTTCAGACATCGCCCCTGTCTTACCCTCTAACACATCAGAACCACACACATCTGTAGATGAACTGGTGGATATAGAGGGAAGTGAAGAATTGAAATCTTTGTCCCGCCCCCTGTCCTCATCTTCTTATTTCCTCTACAGCCTAAAAGGCATATCAATGTGTACATATATATACATACCTATAAATATATATATATTATATATATATATATAAATATAAATGATGGAAGAAAAGTGATAAGGTTCTGTCCACTTGTTAGTTAAAGGCTCTGCAATGGAGGAACAGTGTGGTAGACATTTTTTTGTACTTTTCTTTTTGTTTTTCTAAAAGGTAATAATGAAGGCAATAGTGAGCATGACTATAAATCAGTCTACGTGGGTGCCTGTGTGTGAGGGTGGGAACGTGTGCTGACCTCTTAAGGAACTTCATGTGGTACTTAAATGTTCCCTCTCTGTCCAAAAAAAAAAAGAGAAAAAAAACTCTCTTCTTCCGATTTTGAAACTTTGAAGCACATGGGAAGCTGCCACAGTGGCAACAAGTGACTTCCTCACGTTAGAGAGTCAGGAAATTAAAAAGAAAAGAAAAAAAAGCACAGGAAACTTGGCAGTTTCTTACTTCCTCTCTCTCAGTCTCTCTCCTGACTCCTGATTTTTTTCCCCCTCCCACGGTGTGTCCCTCCTGTGCCTGACAGTTTGTTTGAGGAGCTACAACGAATCTTTCAATCCTCTCCTCCTCAGCATCGTTTCCCTACTTCCTGCTTGGAAATCTCTGTTCTTTGTTTACATCTCATATTTTTTGCACAACAATGAAGAAGAATGAAAAGCTTGAGAAAAGCACAGCGTCGATAACAAATGGCTCCTGACATTAGGGGGAAAACACACAAAAGAAAAAAATGTTCTGCATCTGAAGTGAGTAGGAAACACCTATGCACAGTCCTGTTTCTGCAGGGCCGCGAGTCACAACAGCCGCTTTCTTTCCCCCCCTCCTCAGAAAAAGGGCCATAAAAAAAGTCAAGTGTTCCTGTGGTTGTGTTGGGAAGGAAAAGTGCAAAGATTCCAATCCTGCAGCCACGCTTCTGGAACTGTTTACTGTCGTCTCCGGAGAAAAAAAAAATGAGGGAGAGAAAATAAAACTCCAATTTTGTGTATTAATGTTTCAGTGGTGCGTACGTCATTCGAGTGAACTCAAACCAAGAGCCAGTGTATATTATTAATATTAACCCTCGAAAAGAAGCTCAGTATGTGACATGACATTTTCATGCTTTACCAGACGTGGCACGCCACTCCCCGGTACGCAAGACACATCAGTCAAAGCTTGAATGATTGTTTTAAAAAAGAAAATAAATACAAAAAAAAAAAGAATAAATAAATGACAAACCGTGTAGTGCTTGTTGCTGCTGTTGTGCCACTTCAGGTAAAGTTGATCATTTGAAGTCCTGTGTAAATGACCTCTGCAAATGACTAAAGCAGCTCTTCTGTATGAAAATGTTGTTGTTTTTTGTTATTTGGTTTTTAAAAAAATATATTTCCTTTTATGTGTTTAAAGTAAACTGCCTTGTCGTGTTTTTCTCATACCACAAATGTCACAGATGCACATTTGCAAATTATTTTAGGTGTTTTCAATCAGTGCCAGGAGCAGAGTGGCTGTCTGCACTGGCTGAAACACAGCCCAAAACCATTACAGAGTCTCCCAGATGCTTTTACTAAAAGTGTCAAGAGTGTAGCTATTAAAACTAATCTTCTCCAACCTGGAAGTATCGGTCCAGTTTTTATGAAGTATTGCACGTTTGGAAACATTCTTAGCTGTGAGCATCCCTCCCATCCCACCATCCCCACCCCTGCAAAGAAAGTTTGTCCAGCAGCAGGAGTGTCAGCATGAGCAGATCACTAAGGTCAGCTCAGGTCAGCTGTTAACCGCAGGTGTTTTCAAGGTCAGGTCAGCTGTTAACCGCAGGTGTTTGCACAGAGAACACAACTCAGTACAGAGAAACCATCGGTTACAGTCAGGGTTTCAACCAGATTGTTTCTTCTTGTTTTAAGGCAAGCACACCAACCCAGTCAGCCACATAAACAGCAGTAGCAACAGCTGTGTTCATCACTTCACCTGTTGTTCAAAACGGTAATTCTTTGTAACTGTAACTACCCCACTGTAGGACAAATAACGATACTATTCGAATTTAAATGAATTTGCATTGCCAAAACCCCCTGCAATAGCCATACATCCCCTAGGGGGGGCCTTTCTCACTCTTTGGGAACCAATGAGGTAAAAGGTCAAATTTAAAACCTAGTAAATTGTCTCTAAACATCAGATAGAGGTATTTTCCAATACTTTTTTATTACGTGGCCGTTTGTTCAGGTCATATCAGCCAATCGGGTTTCAATTAAAAAAAAGGTCCTGGTTCAGCCAGCAACACAGCACCACATATTGAGAAACCTGTTCGTACCTGCAGTAAATCTTCACCACCCGTTTTCTTTTTTTACATTGTCAAGCATTTAATCAAATGTAAAGAACCAGAAATGCATTCCCAGCAACAGTAAGCGTTCTCAGTCATACTGAACTGGATTATATCAGTGAGTTTAAGATGAGAAATTCAAAGCTTTAATCAGCATACCTGGATGGTTTCATTGCGCCGCCTCGACGTAGACAGTAAAACAAACTCGCAGCAGCCGGCAGCCTCACGACTCCACTTTGTGCTCCATGACCCGGATGCTTTCTTAAGGAAAAAATAAATTATTAGCTAGGGTGTGTATTAGGAATTAATACATCAGTGTAAAACCAAAGAGCCACAGGACAAAAAACATTTAAACTTCAAAATATTTGTTTGATTTTATTTTACATGATCAGCTCCCAAAGCTTCACAAACTGCTGAGAGAAAGTTGGCCCAGCAGATGGCGGCATTTACTGCGTAATGACTGCGTTACCTCTGCGCGGCCATATTTCAAACAGTCAGTGGATTTTGCAGACTTCTTAGTGGAGATGTTGTCGTAAACAGAGTCAGTAGGTGGCAGTTATGTAATGAGACGAGTTGCCGTTTGAACCCATCGAAGAACAGCTGATCTTAGCTCACCCCTGGGGGACACTGATTATTGTAAGTTATAAAAACATTTATATGGCAGTAAATTTAAAGAATATTTGTGGTGACAATCTTAGTGTCAGTGTTGCATTTAGGGGTAATAAATAACAAGCAGTAATAAAGACTTTGCTAGAGGTGTACAGCAGCACAGATCATTAGACTTGAATGCAAAATGCAGATTTAAAATTTGAAAAAAAAATTTATGCATTTATTAACCAAGGCAATCCAACTACATTTAATCCAATTTACCCTTAAATCCCTGCAGGTGGAAAGACGACATGATCTATGTTTATACTGTAGAGTCATTCAGAAAGGCTTGCCTGCTTTTTCTTTAAAAATAGAGGAATTAAAAATGAAAGTCCTTGCTCAGTCAGTGACCAGTATCCTTGGAGCATTAAACTTACACACACAACACACACACACACACATGCATTAAAACCAAGCAATTATTCCATGCTGAAGTGTGATAAATCCAGAACTACTCTCCAGAACTGGGCTAACAGCCGCCTGCATCCCTTTTCCAAATACTTTTGCCTTCTTCAATTTAATACACACACACACAAACACACACTGGAAGTCATGTCACACTCACACAGGACACAGTGCAAGAAGCTCTCAGTAACAAGGCCCTGTGGGACATGAAGGAGCATGGTATACCTTGCTATAGTGAGTAATGGTGTGTGTGTGTGTGTGTGTGTGTGTGTGTGTGTGTTTGTGTTAGTTCAGTGGATGTAGCTCCTAGCCTGACATGCTCTCCAACCTCTCCTCCTCCCATCTACTCCTCTCTCCTTCTCTTCCTTCTTCCGTTCTGGGAGCTCATTGCTCTGTGACACAGTAATGAAGTGAAGATGATTTTATTTGAGGAGAAACCACAACACACCCCTGCTTGTGTAGACAAACACACACACCCACACACACACCATATGGCGACACATCCACACAGCACAGAGACAAACATCTGGCCTCTTTACTCATTGTTCAAACATAGCTTTATGTTAAAGACATGGCTGAGGTGACTGACTGACTGATTGACTGACTGACTGACTGACTGACTGATTGACTGACTGACTGACTGACTGACTGACTGACTGACTGACTGACTGACGGCTTGTTTCCTCTGGTGTGTCCTCTGTAGTCATGCTGTGAAATGTGAGGTGTTTGATGCTAAATTACTGCAGGTATTTATTAAAAATGTTTGGCATATGATGGAGAGGATAGTCAGACACCGGAGCATTGATGGGACAATCAATTGATGAAACAATTTAAGACATTCAAAAAACTAAAACAACTAAAACAAGTCCCATTAGCAATCATTTCCCTTGTAGATACCAATTTAATAACATATATTTGTAATGACGTTTGTCAGTCTGTAAATATTCATATAGTTAAAAATGGCTTAGGAGAATTACTAAATTGTTTTTTTTAATTTTCTTTTAATATTTAATATTTTTATTTGTTTGGACGTTACATCTCTTCTAAGTAAAACATGGCACCTCCCTTAACTGCAATATATGGCCTTCAAAACAAAAAAACTTAAAATATTATTATTTCTTTTTTAATCTATACTTTTATGGAATGCACTGTGACATTTTAAAAGATAAAACAAACACAAAACGAACCGTGTTTCATTCTGCTAACACCAGTAACGTTTTCTACCGTTGCCTTCCTGTTGACACTGATTTGGAGGTGGTTTAGGTTAAAGTTTTTGCTACACAAAAATACACCCAGTAGATGGCAGTAACGCAACTCACAAGATTCACATCTGCTTGTAAAGCCTGGAGGAGATGACCGACTGAGTGTGTTAGCAGCGTTACCTTAGCCTTGTTTTGGTGAAATGCTACAGCTCTCGATGTGGTGCCACTACTTAGCTCGATATCACTGTGGATAAGAGTGACCGCTTTAAATGATTTTCTATTTTTCTCGTGGAAAAAGTATGACCAGTTTACATGATTGAATTTATATAAAGCAATGCACCAGTGTGTAAGAGTGATTGAGTAAGTCTTTTAAATGGGTATCTAGCACCACCTACAGGCAATGTGAGAAAAGCTACATGCTGATACATAAAATGCCATAATAACTCCATAATACTCTTTAATGAAATGTTAAATAAAATAAAATAATTTTATAGTTTTTCAACAGGACAAGTTTGTCAACAGAAAGACAAAAACTAATCGCCTGCTGCAGAATCATCACAGTCTAAGAGAGTGGTTTCTTTTTTTTATTTTTTTTTATTTTGAGCCCACATCTAGGTTTAATCCTTCAAAAGTCCCCGATTTAACTCAGTAAATACCTGAGAAGACCAAGACCTCAAAGGAGTTGTTTTTCCACAGCTAATTAAAACACTTTGCTGTGGACTTTTTTCTCAGAGGCCGCAGCTTTGAAGCAAAACAACATCAGTTCCAAGGCACAGCAGAGAGAAGAAGAAAAAATGAAATTGTTCAACTGCCAGAAGACGTGTAAAAAAACAAGAAGCTTCTATTTTCTCAGAGCTATAAACCTGACAGATGTACTGACACCGGCAAAGTTGTGTCACATGACGCAGACACAGGTAACTCAGCTGAAACACTTTCAGACATTTCACACACACACCAGTCACTGTCCTGCGTTTAGAAACTGAATTTTGAAAACAGAATTTTTTTTTAATACTTGCTGCAGCTGTTCACGTTTGCATTTGCAGCCAAAGCGTACCCTGAGGTGTGTAAGGACACAGAGGTTTTAAAACCTCATCTCCCTGCCCTTTTTCAGCTGATTTAGTCTTATTTTAGGAACCACGCTGCTCTAATAAGGTCTCTGGATGGAATACGGAGATGTTATTGATTGTTTTTTCAAGGTTTTGCAAAAGTCGGCAGAGTTGTGGCTTCTTTGTGCCAGGAACAAAAACAAAAAACAAAACAAAATCAGCAACTACGCCGCTGTTAAATGAAAGAGTAAATCCAGATGACGATGTCAGTCGATACACTCACACACACACGCACACACAACGTGGAGGAATCACAATATCATCAAAGTGATTTTATTATTAATAATAATAATAATAACAGTATCTCTTTTTAATGAACATCGCAGATACATATTAGAAAATAAATCAGAAACAGGAGAGACGTCATCTCCAGAGTTGGGAAAGTGCCTGAAATTATTCTGTGCTATGTGTCATTATATTCAACATCACCATCATCATCCTCAAAAACATCATCATCACCATCACCATCATCATCATCATCACTGTCAAAGAAACATTAATTTTCATAAAAACAGAAATGCGGCTCAGCCTCTGTTCAAATCAGATTTTTTTTTTCTCACAAAGTTGAAGTCGAACAGTTAACGGCGGACGGTCAGAGGCGCTGTAAGCAACGACCAGCTTTTTTTGTGATTATGGCTCGATTGTCTTCATCTGAAAAAACAAAAACACAAAACCTTTTTTTTCTCTTGATAATATTTACACAAAAAAATCACAAGTCACTCATCTGTTTAGATATGGTCAATGGTCCTGACTGTCATCACTCACACACACACACACTCACACACACGCACGCTCACAGACCAGGTCAAAAATACAAAGCCTCATCATTAAAACTCTTGATGAGGATATGGGGAAATAAAAGTTGTCAATGATTTATTTGCATATTTTGATAGTACTGGTGAATTTGGAGATGTTTTAATGTTGTGTGTGTGGTTGGCCTTCAAAGCTCTGACACAGCCACACTCCGTCTTCCTTTGGTCTAACATTACTTTATATATAAATATATTTTTTTAATTGTATAGGTTCAAATACTGCATTATTTATTTATTTTCCATCTTCACTACATTCTTCTCTGGTTTAAGCCATTAGTCTCCTAACAGATTCACCAGAAGGATTTGTTTTCAATGATATATTTTATTTCCAACCCCATTTTAAGATAGAGTGAAACAAAAGAAATAAAAGCCTAGAATCTACACTGGTGAATCATCTGAATCTTTATTCATCAGAAAAAAGGACAAAGAAAATATCTGCACTAGTTACTGTTAATGTTGTAAGTGAGTGTGTTTGATTGGCCGGCCTGCAGTCCAGATCTGTCCCTTACTTAAACCTGCAGGTGATTCATAAAGAGGGGAATCAGTCAAAGGAGACCACAGAGCACGGAGCAGCTCAGCTCTTTAATGTGCCAACAACTGAAAAGAAAAATATGCAATTTGCTTCTGTCCAAAATTTTTAATATTATTATGTGTAGTATAAACATATTCCTGGTAAATTTACTAATACTAAATACTAATACTAAGTATTTCCTTTGTCCCTTTCCCCGTTGAATAAAACTTCCAGCTTTCAACTTTTATTTTTTTTTATCCCATTTTGTTTTGACTTTGTACCAACTGACCTGGAAGTGGGGCCTTGTACAGTAAGTGTTAGCTTGATAACAACTGTTAGACTTTTGATGGAAAACTTCTATGTCAAGCATTGATCAGACGTCAAAGCCCTATCTGTTGCTATTTTACATCTAAGATCAAACAGTTCAGGCCTGGAAAGAACCGGAAAAACTCCATTTGACCCAACAAAAACTGGGCCACTGACAAGAAGCTAGTTGTAGTTTCTCTCTCCTCTGTCAGCTCTGACATCATCGACGGTGTTGCTGTGTTGACAAGTCAACTTGCAACACCTACAAAACATCCCGCTGAGCTGCCGTCAACTGTGGGAAGTGTCAAAATTCTTCCTATTTCAACTAGAGCCCCTCAACCTGCTTCATCCACAGATCAGTTCTGTGTCTATATTCTCACAGAGCAGTCGTCGAGGTGCTGCGAGAGAAAATTGACAAAATAAAACCATATATCAATAAAACAATAATAAAGACACCAATTGGCTGAATATTTTGCAGAGAGGGTTTGTCATATGAGTGTATGTTCATTTGTATTCTGTTTCCTCTGTAGGCTTGTCAAAATAAAAGTCTTTGGAAAAAACTCCTCAAAGACTTTTATTTTGACGAGGCTCCTGAGGTGTGTTGTGATTGCAACAATTACATCAAAAAAGTACTTTCGCACCAATAATCAGTAAAATGCTTCATCCTCGAATCACATGACTCATGGCGCCATGCTGGTCTGGGACCCAGTGGTTGGGGACCTCTGCATAAAAACATTAAGTTGAACCATCGAGTGTTCAGCTGATGGTTGTTCATGACTTTACGCACTTTCCCATGTTTCCTCACTCCCTCCTGTTTCTCCATATTTATAGCTTTACTAAGCAAATAGTCCTCTGTTACAAAAATAGACTTTGTTTCCTCTATTTCTCATAAAATAATAACACACACAATTAGGTTTCAATCATCTGTTAAGGTAAATGTCAAAGTTTCTTTTCTTTCAAAGTAAGATGTGACATGAAGCCTAGCACCGTGTTCTTCGTACCTTCACAGACCAAACCTTCTCCACAGATGACTGTTTGGACTTTGACCCCCTTTATTTCCGCTATTTTGCCATCATTTGCATATTCAGGTCGAGTCCACTTCTACTCACACCCCCTAAAACTGTATTGTTTTCATTTGGCAGAGGCTGCACATTTTTGCAGTTCCAACTTCCATCAAAAACATAAACTTAAATTAAATTAAAAAAAGCTTTGAAAACAAGACAAGCAACAAGATGGTGATAAACACGGCTTTAACCCACACGCTTCACCAGCCGTTGCTTCGCTGCTGGATAGAAACGGAAAACAAATCATGATTAAAAACAGTTAAAAGAAACAAGTTCCAAACACTGATGCTACAAAGAATTAGAATAGAATGTATATTATATTTACACAGGACCCTGTTTTCCTTTTATATACCAGGTAAATTCATAGGTGTTGGCTTGAAGGGTTAGACAGACCTAAAAAAAAAAGGTTCTTCTTGATTTTTTTGATGTTCAGTTTTTAATAAAAGCTCTTATTAGACCATTTATAAAAAAAACCCCAAAAGATGCCACACCACCTGCATGACCCCTAGTGGTTTAAACTCAACAGCGGCGAGTACTTCAGAGGCCCTCGGGTTCACGTGGATCTAGTTTGGTCAGGGTCTGAGCATTTCCCGGAGGTGGTTGTCACACGGACCCACCGCCGTCACCAGATGACACTGGATATACTGGTCTCTCTGGGGAGCAGTGGTAGCATGGCGTTGTTACCGTGGGCCTCCTCCATGCTCTGCTGCCTTGGTGACTTGGTAATCGGTCGCTGCTGTCCGTTGAGCAGCGTCATAGGGATGTTGCAGTAGGTGTGCTGGCTGCCCAGAGAGGACATCGGCGGCAGCGTTCCGCCGGGTCGCAGGTCGTAGTCGTAGCTACGGTAATAGTGTTTCTGCCTCAGCTGGGTGTGGCAGGTGCTGTGAAAGGTGGAGCGCAGGTCAGGGTGAGTGGTCGCCAGGGCGGTGGTTGTTGCTGAGGCCATAGAGATAGCGGAGACGGTCTGAAGCTCACCGAAGGGGCCCTGCTCGCTGACGTCCAGCACCTGTTCGTGGGAGATGCTCAGGGGCTCCATGCGCTTGAAGGGCATCTCGTAGATGAGCTGCTTCCAGAACTTGGAGTTGAGCTTGTTGCTGGACGGTCCGCGCCACTTGATGACCGTCAGCATTTTGATGGTGTGTTTGAGGGCCTCCACCTCCTGGTAGTTCATGATGCCGCGCAGCTCGGCGCACTCGATCAGGATGACCTTGATCTCGCCGGTCACCAGCATGTTGCGCAGGCGCGTCTCCAGCTCAAAGATGCTCCACCCCCTCCTCAGGACGTAACTGGGGGTCATGACTATGATGAGGCGTTTGCTTTGGTCCACGCAGCGGGCCACGTCCTCTATGTAGGCTGGACACACAGAGACGGAGCCAGAAACAACAGTTTGTGAGAGAGCTGGCATGTTGAAAGCAAACGTGTGGGTTGGTGTGATGATTCTGGTTTTTCTAGAGGGTGATGGAAATGTGATGAAACTGAATTTTTTATGACTTTCTCTGCATCCACCTTTAGATGCAGACATCTACCTTTCATTGCCATGTCAAAAAAACAAACAAAAAAACAAAACAACAAACAACAAACAAATCTAATTCCCTTCAGATGAGATTTAGATTTGTTTTGTCTTCTGAAATAAAATGAGAAATAAGATTTAGGGAAAAATGAAAGACATATCAAAAATGTTTACATCAAGGGGAATCCAAACAGAGAATAATGGAAATGAACAGGTAAAAAAAAACTATAACTAGAAAAATAATCAATCACAGTCTCCACAGACTGTGAAGTGTGTGTGTGTGTGTGTGTGTGTGTGTGTGTATGATTTCATCACATCTGGACACTTCATCCTTACACTGATCTGCTGTTCCAACAACATCCTCCCAGCAGCTAAAACTCAGTCAAATCTCAGTTAATGTTCAAAACAATATAAAATAGAAGAAAGTATATTTTCTCAGAAGAAGAGAAAAGTTCCAACATAGAACAAACACAGTCGGTATAATTAGCTACTGAGCAGAACTTTGATTTTATGTTAACAACTGAGCAGAGTCTTAGTAAATCTGTTGAACCTGATGACACATTAGCTGCAAGGATTTCATTCCTCTTTCTCAGAGACGCGGTGATTATTTGTAAAACAACAAAGTGCTGCAAATCCATCCTGAGCTTTTGATTATGATGGTCTGGAAATACATGTGTGCGTCCACATCTGCTCGCAGCGATGTGGCTAAAAAACAAACACATTTGAATGCATCAATTAAATGCCCCCAGTGCAGCCTCTCTGGCTGGACAATAATTAATGTGGTTGTTGATGAGTTCTGCAAAAAGGTTTGATTAAAACAAACCAGTTACTGTTAACAACAGCATTTGTGTCAAATATTCAGACGAGGACAATGACATGACTCAACTGTTTTCCTTCGAGCATAAAACAGGGCGTGCATGAAGTGAGAAAAGGACAGTATATATATATATATATAT